ATGTTTTTCTCATTCTTTTTTTTTTGTTTTGTGTGTCCGCTCTAGATTTTTGTTTTATGGTTATGATGCTGTTTGTATACAATATCTCATAGATAAAATTGTCTTTTTTCTGCTGATAGTATCTTATTTTCATTTTCCTATACAGGGTTCATCCTTTTCCTCTTCCCCTTTTATGTTTTTGTTGTCCACATTATCCCTTTTTATGTTGTGAGTTCATTACCATATTGAAGTAGCTTTAGTTATTTTTAATTAGTTTTTTCCCTTTAACCTTTATGCTACAATTAAGTGTTTAACACCCTATTCTGCAATAGCTTTGCAATTTTCTGGTTCTGTTTACTTATTACTTTACTCAAAGTTGTGTGTACTTTTTCACTTTCATTTCTGGTAGAAGAGCTCCTTTCAACATTTCTTATAAGGTAAGTCTAGTGGGTAGTGAACTCCCTCAGCTTTCATCTGGGAAAGCCTTTATTTCTTTTTCATGTCTGGAGGATGCCTTTGCTGGATAGAGTATTCTTGGCCGGCAGTTTTTATCTTTCAATATTTTGAATATGTTATTCCACCCTCTCCTGGCCTGCAGAATTTCTGCTGAGAATTCTGCTAATAGCCTAATGGGGGTTCCTTTGAAGGTTACTGTCTTTTTTTTCCTTGGCTCTATTTAAAATTCTTTGTCATTGACTTCTGACAGTTTCAATAAAATATATCTTGGAGAAGGTCTTTTTGTGTGGAGATAATTAAATGTTCTGTTAGCTTCATGTAATTGTATATCCAGGTACTTCTCAAAGATTGGGTAGTTCTCAGCTATCATTTTGTTAACTAAGCTCTCCACTCTCTTCTCCCTGTATTCTCCTTCTGAGATACCCATTAGCCTTATGTTGCTTTTTGTAATATATTTGTCATATATTTCTTGTAGAGTTTCTTAATTTTAAAACATGTTAGTTGTCTCTCCTCTTCCACATTTGAGCTTGCTAATTCTCTTTTCCATATGGTCTGCTCTATTTCCAATTCTTTCTAGTGTATTCTTCATCTGATTTATTGAGTCCTGCAGCTCCAGAATTTCTGTTTCTTTCTTTTTTAGAGTTTCAATATCTTCAGTAAATACTTCTAATAATGAATTTTATTCCTGAGTTCACTGAACTTTCTGAGTTTTCTTGTAGCTCATTGAATTTCTTTATGAATGCTATTTTGAATTCTCTATCAGTTAAATTGCAATCTTCCATGACTTCAAGTTTGGTTTCTGGAGAATTGTCATGTTCTTTTTGTGATACTATGTAACCATAATTTTTCACGTTGCTTGATGAGTTTTCCTTCACTGGTGCATTTTTAGTAGTGAACACCTTTCTTATTTTGGTAAAGCTTTGTTTACTTTGATTCTGAGCTGCCTCTGGTTATATTTTAAAGACAGCTCTTTCCATACTCTACTGCCTCTGCCAGAGGTGTTTTCATTACCCTTGTTGCCACTGCTTGTGCCACTGAGATTGCTGATATCTTGCTG